TGGCAACCGCATGCGACGAAGCCTGCTCGGCGCAGATGACTCGTTCGAGTCCGAGGACAGATAGCGCCGGCACAACGGACGCTAGAATAGCAGAGTGAAGCAAAAAAGGTTGGTGCTAACAACAAACTTAGCCGAAGTACTTAATTGCCGTATTACTAAGTTTGCTTATGGTTTTTGTCGATTGTAAGGACGATTTGCGCCTATTTCCACACCAAATATTCAGCAGCAAGCACGTAGCTCGCACCCTGAAAGACGTCGTTATCTAGGCACCAAAATACACACATTTACATGGTAACATTGCAGCACACTGTTCATTGCGCTCGCGACCGCTCCCCCCTTTGACTCGCTCGCGACCCCCAACCCTCCTGTTCAGGAAAGCTCGTGCTCCACTTACCCGACCCTTTGGCTTCACACACTTTCTGACATCCACCATCCTCACTGTTTGTTGGCCGACTACTCATCCACGGGGCAACGTTCATGATTGCTGGTCTGGATGCGCGAAACCGGGAGGTGTGGTGCGTCGCCAGCGCCATCTACATGATATTTCATCAACGCATAGTTAAGCCGGGAATCCGCCTGGAGTTATCGTCTGCTTGATCCTGTCTGTTCCTTACCCAGCGGCACAGGCAGAGGGGGAGGGGGGCACGGGGGGCACGTGCCTTCCGGCTGCCAAGCTGGCGACACGGGGGTGGGGTCCCCTGGTCCATCCGGAGGCCCTCAGAGGAATACAGCATACATTGGTCCTCTCCCTGACGCGAGGGGCCCTCTGACCCGCGCAGCCCAGATCGAAGAAAGGGGCCCTTTGCTGGCACATGCCCCCCTGTTAGTCACTGTGGGCCCCGTAACGACACAGGGGCACGGAGCCGACTGTTCGCTGGCGGTGGTCTCTGGCCGACATCAAGCCCCGCATTGTTTCAGGCCGTCCTTAATCGGCGCAAGAGGCATTCCAACTGATATTTCAGGTCACGACCCTACGGGCTGGGATCCTTTATGTGACCTACAGCCAGCCCTTCACGCCGTAATGCCCTCCAATGGGGTCCTTGATCGTCGGTTCCGGTGGGCCTCCGGGCGCCTTTTCGGGCCTTATCGACCACCGTCCCTGGTTGCTTGGGGTCCTTGCCAACACAGGATCCCGTGTTATGCACTGTGGGTCCATAATAGCTTCAGGGGCTCCTACCAATGTAACTCGCTGGCCCCGGCCTTGTAGCTGCTTGGGAGGTGGGCCCTCAGGTCCATACCAACACGGTGTGCCCACTGTGCGCATCCACAGTGTCTAACAGAGGGTCTTGTGTTGGAGAGGGCCCCGGGTCGATCAGGAGCAGTGTTCGTCAGTAGCGTTCCTCAAAAGAAAAGGTCAAGGCCTTATTGAAAGGATAAAGGGCCCGAAGGGTCTAAAGAGCCTGTTCAAACGGCCGGCTGAAGGTCATATGAAGGACCTTCGCAAGTTGGGCCGTCACCTCTCATGTCAGTCAGAAGGCTTCTTGCACTGATTGTGGACCCCTGGGACGATACAGTCCTCTAGGTTGGCCGGAGAACGCCAACGCCGAACAGCCGGCTCCGTGTCGGTCTGAGCTCTAGGAACTCATTTCCTAAGCAGGGACAGGGCTGCGGCGCGCTGTTTTGGATGGTATGAGTCCCTGTGGTAGTCAAGGGCCCACGGCGCATAGCAGGAAGTTAGCGTCGGCAGGGAGCCCTAGTCGGCCAGAACAGGACATTTGCTGACGAAGTGCCGAGATGGGACTGCTCATGCCAGAGGGCCTCTTGCGTTGCTCGGGGTCCGCTGAGAGTGAAAGGAGGCAAGGAAACTTATGATGAGAGACCATAATAAGACCGTGGAGCAGGCTTATGTCAGTCAGGGCCCAAATATCAAACGGGACTCCTCCACCCCATGCCAGTCAAGGGTCCTTCATGCCGAACTGGATTATATGCGCTAACTATTGGACCCCGTGTGGCGATGTATCATCTTGTTGCATCAACCACATCTCCTGCGTCGATCCAGGGCTAGCCGTCCAGGTGAGACGACCTCCCGGGTCAGAGAAGGGACTGTGCATACTATATCCCTCTAAGAGCTTCCTGATCGACCATGTGACCACGCCACCGTGTTACCAGAATGGCAATCGGCACTGGTACGCGCCCTGTGCTCGGAAGAAATGGCCCTTCAGCCCTTAACCGGCAACGATAACGTACCCCACAGTGTTCCACCCATAGGGCCCCTAGCCCACAAGCAGGTAAGCGGCCTAGTTAGTGTTCAACAGAGTGGATCGAAATGGGGACAAAAATGAGACAGACCAACGCATTTTTGACCGGGAACGCTCAACCTTTTGCAGAATCGACTAGTGAAACAAATTACACACACGTGTTCAGCCTCCAGTGTGGTGATCTTAGGAGGAAGGACAGTGCTGGCTACAGTTGCAATTTCAGTGAAACCGAGCGGCGTTGGTCGTTGCAGGTAACATCAGACAGCAGGCGCTGAGCGGAGGAAGAAATGCTTACGAATGTTTGTCAAAATCCTTTCGTACCGTGCAAAGATTAAACAGGGAATATGCCTTACCTGTACATTTCTGAAGCTGTTCTCAAAATAGATTTAGGGCTACACCAACGCGAATAAGAAGTGTTCTGCCTTTACTTGTCCTGGTGGCGGACCCAGGCTTACGGGTCTGACTCGCACCTGGCAAACGCATGCGACGGAGCCTGCTCGGCGCAGATGACTCGCCTGAGTCCGAAGGCAGATAGCGCCGGCACAATGGATGACCAAGTAGCAGCGTGAATGAAAAAGGTTGGTGCATAGCAACAAACTTAACTAAAGGAGTTATTTGCTGTATTACGAGGCTTACTTATGGTTTTTGTTGATCACGAGCATGCTGTGTTCCTTTCTGCACGACAAACTTTCGGTAGTAAGGATGTAGCTCGTATCTTAAACATCTAGGCACCAAAATACATACATTTACGTGGTTAACGTCGCAGCACTCTGTTCATTGCGCTCGTGATCTCCCCTCCTCCCTGCCTGTTCAGGAAAGCTCGGGTCTCCTAGAGCTTGAGCTTTCCCCCCCCCGAAAATCGCATTACGACCATTCAATTTTAGGGTTAATATGTAGGCTATTTGTGTAGAGAAATCCATCTTACTTTGTGCAGCTCTTGAAAACTGGGCGTGCTACGTATGCTGCACATGCATGGAGCCTGCTCATTTTCGCTAGACATGGTGAATCCTGTCATTTGAAGGCTGAGGATTTCGGAAAAACGTGGCAAAATAAACTTACGTTGGCTACTTCTTACCATCAAACTGCAGGCACAAACTTTATTCCTAGTTTGTTTACGGCTAGCCGGCTCGTCAATGAGATCAGCTGATGGCTGCTGACGAATGCAGGGTTTTGCTTTGATTGTTACGAAGGAGTGCCATATATTCTAGCATTAAAGCATGCATTTAGAACGTGATGCATAAATATAATATGTGTCACAAACTCAGTATCTAACGGAAATGACACATACGACGTCGGTGGCGCGTAAAATGTATGTTCGGTAATTGCGCGTAAAAAAAATAATCGACTCATATCCGACTGTTGCTCTCAGGCTAAGGGCCTAGAAAAATTGTCATTGAACAGCCTCGGACACGTGTACATAAAGTAATTAGCCATGCCAGTATGCAAAGCGAACAGGCGAAACGCCCTGGCGTTCGCAAACACACGTAGGGTTATCGCAGCAGAGTCCTTCTGACGTCATCGGAAGAGCTCACGACCAATGCTGAGGGGCCCAGAGCGATCAAGAGTGCCCCGGCCGATTAAGAGTTTGGTCCCCGTCAACGGCGTAGACTCTCCGATAATATGGGAACGCAAAGCCAGCAGGCCGTCTCCGTGGTCTACAATGTCCGCCCCGGTAGCGTAAAGGAGAGACGCTGTGCTCGCAAAGCAGAGGTACTGAGCAAGAGCCCCAGAGCAAACGCGTAGCTCGGCTGTATTGAAATGGAAAGGTCAGGTGATAAGTGGCCAGCGAGGGTCAACCCAGGTCCCGGGCGGGAGAGTCGTAGCATTGCGAGGTATGGCCTGTGTAGGGCCCTCCATTCAAAGAAGAGGTACACAAGACCCAGTGTGGAGGGCCACCGAAAGATTGAATATACCCGAGCGGACTGACAGATGGGGTCCCCAACAAAAGTGCAGGACCCTCAAAAGTAAATAGGAAGCGCCGAAGATGGGTATAGTGACCCCCCAAACGATCGAGTGTGCCCAAGCAGCATAATAGGTGGGATCCCGGACAAGAGCGTTGGACACTTAAAGGAGACCAGAAGTACGCAAGACACAATGTGGAGGGCCCCGAACGATCCAGTGCATCCGAACAGGTTTTGCAGATGGGCCCCCGACAAGAGCGTAGGGACCCCCTTCAAATGCATCCGAAACGTAATGTAACCTACCCATCTAATGACCTTCACAGCTACCACACATGACATACGTGAAACATGGGGAATTAAATACACGTTTCACACTTTCTACAATGATTGATAAAGGCAACTTCCAGAAGCTCACGTTGGTCCGTGTGGTCTACCTTGCACGCGGTCCAAGCCTCACCACCTGCAACCAGTCGTAAAATGGGATATCGCTGCTTTGTTCTCGGACTGTAAAGCGGACTAACGAACGCTGCCTCCACGATCCTTGACATCAGCATGAACACCACGACGCTGGAATGCTGGTCTTTTGCAATGGCCTGCGTCTGTGTCCATGCCCATTTACAATGCAATGGCCTGCGTCTGTGTACATGCCAATGCCCATTGTGTGCAACACATTAACTAAAGACATCGCCTCACGCAGGCGCCACAGAAACTGCGGCCCAGCCGCGGATTGCCGTCTCGCAGACGCCCCTGCCGTGGCGACCCCGACACCGGATCTCGCAGCGACGCTGTTTATTATCTTCGACTGGCCGTAATCTAAACGACGGACAGGGGCCTGCGCAGGACGGCGTTCGCGCCGACGCGCCCGCCAACGGACCAACCCGCGGGCGGCGGGCGGCGGCGCTGGCGCCCCAGTCAGGCATCGGCGGCAGAGGAGGCAGCGCCCGGTGTACGGCACGTCCTGCAGGGATCGACGACCCGGGAGCAGCAGCGATGATCCGCACGGCTTTGCTGGTGCTGGCGTGCGCGGCGGCGGCGCTGGCCGCCGACTGCGGCGAATGCGACCCGAGCAAGTGTGCGGTGGCCACCGAGTGCTACTCCGGCGTCGTCATGGACCTCTGCAACTGCTGCGCCGTCTGCGGCAAGCGCGAGGGTGAGGAGTGTGACGACCCGTCCATGAAGATGAGGAAGAGGCTGCGCGGAGACGGCCGCTGCGGTGAGAACCTCGAGTGCCAGGTCATCAAGACGAACCAGAAGAAGGGCAGAAAGGTACGGGCAGGTGGAGATCGCGGACCGCCGTATTTCGCTTGGACGGCGGCCAGTTTTGTCCCAGGCGTGTCTTGGTTCTATTCTGGGTGCTGCGGTCGGGGAGAGGGAGTACGCGCGTATCAAATGTGACTCGTACTTGCACATGTCATTCGAATTGTGTGCTTTTTCTGCAATAGCCGGAGCTATCAACGCTGCTACAGCGTCTCGCCACATATTGGCTTCCTCTTGAGACGTTTGTAATGACAATGTTTGCATCTCGAGCTAGAGCACTTCCAAGTTTCAGCTGGTTTGTGACGTTCCTTTTACCAGACCAGCGTCAGCTGTCCCCGGCGCTACCAATCCATGACTCTGATCCTGGCCACTATGGCCAATCAGGACGCGGCTCTGACCACCCCGCCGCACATTCGTCGACTTCGATTTGAAAAGCTCGGATGCAGCAAAGTTTTGTGCTGCTATTCGCACCTTGGCGCCTATGTGCAGGACATGGAGCCCGACTTCGGCTAGTTCAGTCGAGCAGGACGTCGGTGACATCATGCTCCATGACGCCGCGGTCTCTGGTCCGCGTCCCGCGTCTCCCAATGCCCCGCTGTTCGGGTCCGGTCCCTGGAAACGGCACCACCCCCGGCCGCAAGCCGTTGGCAGCCGCCCACTGCCACGTCATGCTCTGGGAGAACAACAACACCAGTGGCCAGCTCGCTGCAGGGCCGAGTCAGCGGCGGCTGCAGTCTGCGGGCTGGAGGACCCCGCACACGGCCGACCCTCCGTGGGGTGCTTACCGTGATGCTCACAGAGGTACCCAGTTGGCATTGTTACGACGGGTGATGCTGCTGTAGCCGGATATCCTGAAGCGTACGCAGTTTCGAGCTCTAACCCTGCACGCGACGCCCTCTATTTGCCCCCGCCTTGTCCCCGCAGTTCGGCACGGCTCGCGGAAGTGAGTCGCATTACCTCATCCCAGTGTTGTCGGAATCACGTCCAGCACTCGCCTCCGTCCGATAGACAGAGTGACCGCCAGACTCGCCCCCACGCAGCGGCGCGCCGCGGCTAGCTCAGCGCTGTGTAAGCGGCCGAGCAGACGGCCGGCGCCATCTTGGGCTCCAGTGGGCGTCTGATGTCACCCAGGGTGCAGACGCCGCTCGGCCGGCGGCCGTGTCCTGCGGGGCGGGGGCAGCTGACCGGCGATGACAGGGTCCGTGGGCGGCGGACAGGGCATGCCGGACACGGAGGCCAGTCTGAAACTGCTGGCATGGAGCGGCAGGTCTAGGAAATACTCACGTGTGCTGCAACAAGAGTGCCAGAACGTAAGGCTTGGTGTAGGATTTGAATTCAAAATTCAAGTTGTGTTGCATAAGGCTGGAGCCTAACTTTAAAGATCAGGAAAATTGTCGGTTTAGCTTCGAATCACTTCTGAGGCAGCATATTCAAGTTATGGTCGCATATGCCATGGTACCGGCAAAATGTAATTCTGAAAGATTTGTCATTGTTGCCTGTTTGCGGACTCTGTGACAAGGAACTATTGGTATTGGTCCACCCACAAACGCTGCGCAACGGGCCTAAACGTGCGACTGCAAAAAGAAAACTGGCCCACCGCGTGTTCTTGCCGCCGGGGCCACGCGCGCGTCTGTGGTCGCCAGGAAGACGACTGTTTATGCGGACCGGACGTGGTCTGCTTATTACACTGGACACGGCTGACGGGAGGCATGCCAAACTTGGGACTGGGTCGGCGTGGCTCTGGGTCACAGCGGCGGCGCGAGTGTCACGGACAAGCTCGGGGTCACAGAGGCGGCGGGAGTGTCACGGGCAAGCTCTGGGTCACAGCGGCGGCGCGAGTGTCACGGGCAAGCTCTGGGTCACAGCGGCGGCGCGAGTGTCACGGACAAGTTCTGGGTCACAGCGGCGGCGGGAGTGCCACGGGCAAGCTCTGGGTCACAGCGGCGGCGCGAGTGTCACGGACAAGCTCTGAGTCACAGAGGCGGGGGCAGTGTCACGGACAAGCTCTGGGTCACGGCGGCGGCGGGAATGCCACGGGCAAGCTCTGGGTCACAGAGGCGGGGGGTAGAGGGTGGGGATGGGGCGTACAGCACGCAGGATCTGGAACCAGCAGGGAGGGCATAAAGTGGAGTGGCTGCAGACTGGAGATGGGGTAGGTGCTTACAACACGGGTGCTCTGGGTCACAGTGGCGGCAGTTGTAGCATGACAGATTCAGGGTCAAAAGGGGAAGGCTACAATACGAAGAGGTTCGGGCCGCAGTGGCGGCGGCTGTAGCACCGAAAGACTCAGGGCCAGAAGGGGAAAGGTTAGAGCACGGACTGGTTCTGGGTCATGGAGGCAGGCCAAACTATGCTCTGAGTACAATACAGACAAGGGATCGCAGCGGAGGCGAGCACTGCATATCCAAAAGGTTGCCGGGACTGCTCCAACTGCCACTGGGGACAGACATCAGACAGACAGACATCAGACGTCAGACATGACAGACAGACTTACAGACATCTGCGTGATGCGGACTGCAGAATGGGTAGTGTACAGCGTAAGTCTGTCAGGACAATAGTAGTGTTAGGCTGCCGCCAATGCTTTAGACGCAGCCAGGAGCTGGACGGAGTTTCTGGTGGAGCGCCGTTTCTCGCCACGCAACTGCGGCTGACGGGCAACCATACGCTTTGCTGGTATGATCTTATGATGACGTGGTGTTAAATATGCAGCGATGCAAAGTCACGGTCAGGTTATCATGCTTGATGAAGCTGCGCCTCAGCCTGGCTCGCTCTTTACTGGTTTAAGGTGAGGGGCTTAACAGAAATATCAGGGGATGTTCCCCGGTGGTGAGTTGTCGGTTCGTTCTTTCCTGTCTCCAATCACAATCACCCCGGTGCATTGCACTTGATAAGCAACGCATTATATTTTCTGTGTGATGAAAGCATTTTGTTTCGCCAATCACTCGATTAGATACAGATGCTAAAATAAATGCGTGCCGTACCTGCCTCCAGGAGACGTCGCATGTGATTCTTAACCGCTGAGTCTTATTTCAAGTCGTCCCATGCAGCCGGGTGCAACCTCATAAGTTTCGATGCTACTCCTGTGTGCTGAGACATCTTGCAGTAGACCTTTGGAGCATGCGGCGATAGAGATAAGGCAGCAGAACATGCGACATTGTCCTGGTGCACCAGCTCTGTGGTCTCCTATAATCCTCTTCACGCGTTAGTGAAACCTCGGACACCAACTCGGACGAGTCCGCGTCGAATCTTCAGTCACTGCTCGCTGCCTGCTGCGGCCCCGGAGCCTGCATACGTGCCGTAGGGTGTGGTCCTGACGCGCTCCTGACCTGCTGTGTTGCAGCGGGCGGCGCTGTGCGTCTGCAAGGAGCAGGAGATGGTGTGCGGCTCTGACGGCAACACCTACCCCAACCTCTGCCAGCTGATGGAGGTGGCCTACAAGAACGGCACGCAAGAGGCACCCAAGGTCCAGATGTGGGGGCCCTGCGAGACAGGTCAGTCGACGCCCAAGGTGAAGTTGGGAGGCCGTGCGAAGCAGGCCACTTGACGCCCAAGGGCCACAGGACCCTGATGAACAGCTGGCTGACAGCCAAGGTCCAGATATGACAACCCTGCGAGACACGTCAGTTGACTCAAACTCTCAAACTCTTGACACTCAAACTCCAGATGCGCGGACTGTTCGAGACTGGCCAGCGGACAGCCGAGGAATATGACTCGAGAAGCCGGAATCGAAGCAAGCGACTTACCGCAGTTCGAGAACGCTTGATTTATGTCTGGAGTGGAGCTCAAACGACCGCTGGAACGTGACGCTTTGTTAGCGCAGACAGCTGATATCACGTCTGGCGATGTAGCCACAGGGAACTGAACCTGGGACGGTGCCTTTCGACGCTCGCGGATACTCGCTCGCACACGGCTGACTGGTACTGACGGCGAGACAATTGTCTGGCGCATTCTCTTGATGTACATTTTTCTCGCGTCAATACACTTACAACACAGCCTTATCAGAACATCTGTTGGTTGCGCGATGGACTAAGGCGCTTCCCTCTCGGCGATCGCGTGACTGCCCGCAGGCTTGTTAAGGAAAAGACGCTAGCAGTGGTACGTCGCGTGACGGTATCACTGTATTTTTAGTGTGATATCGCAATTCTCGAGCTTGATACCGTCGTTCGTGAACATATACGACGTCCCATTCCGTGATATGACCGCATGCCGTCATTCAGTGGAGTCGCTCTCTGACGTGACGCCCTCAGTGCGTGACCTGATGCCGCTGTTTTGTGACTCTTTTCGTAACGTTACGGTGAAGCGGGATTTCGTAGCTTCCTGACGTGGTACCATCGTTGTGTGTCGCGCTGCAGTTCTTCGCGTAACGCCGTCGTTTCGACCGTAACGTCTTGATTTCATGTTCCGGAACCCTATCCCGTGCTGCGGCATCGTTCTGTGGCATGACATGGCCGCTCTGTGACAAGACACTGACATTCAGTGACGTCATACCGCCGTTTCGCATTGTGACACCATCGTCTGGTGCCACGGCGAGCGACACTTTCTCCCCGCGGCCCGCCACCGTCGCCACCTGACATGACACAGTCTCCCGTGACATGACCGCGCCGTTCTGTGACGTCACCATGACGTCATACCTCTGCGTCGGCAGCGCCGGTGATCGCCAGCGGGCCGAAGCACGCGCACGAGCAGCTGGGCGACAAGCTCGTCATCGACTGCGAGGTTCGCGGCTACCCCATCCCCGAGATCTCCTGGGAGAAGACGGGCGAGGACGGCCGCACCGTCACCCTGCCCGGTACGTACGCTCTGGACGTCTCCTGGGAGAAGACGGGCGAGGACGGCCGCACCGTCGCCCTACCCGGTACGTACGCTCTGGACGTCTCCTGGGAGAAGACGGGCGAGGACGACCGCACCGTCACCCTGCCCGGTACGTACGCTCTAGACATCTCCTTGGAGAAGACGGGCGAGGACGGCCGCACCGTCACCCTGCCCGGTACGTACGCTCCGGACGTCTGCCGACACGAGCTGAGACACCGGCCGAGCTGGGAAGGGTGTGGCATCAGACGCTGCCGGCTGGAGCTTAAAGGCAAAACGATCATACGGGCCGGTGTAAGCCCCAAGGTGGCCTGGATCTAATGTGCTGGTGAGAGTAATTAGAATGTCACAACTGTATGCTCGTTTTATTTCAGATATAATCATGCGTTGATAATCAACATTTGTGGGGAGGGTATGAAGATAAACTGCAGTCCTTAGGTTAAATATTGAGGCTACAGCGACTCTGAATGACTAAGATCCAATGGCATAGACGTCATACGTGACTTTACGCCACACGGATGCGGCGCCGTTTGGTGTGCGCAGCGACTCCGACGACAGAGATGCTGCGCGATGTCACGTAGAATCGTTGCCGGACACGCATAATCTTTTTCCGCGACTCGATTGGAGTGAGACAGAAATGACGCAACAGATTCAGTTATAAAGAGGTCAATTTACTTGCAGTTTACCGACCATGAGTAGTAAAAAAGGGTGTTCAAGTTTCAAAGAGCATGGTCGACAGTTTTTCCTCATAAGAGCACTCGTGTTACCTGCAAGCGAAAATATGTGTATTTGCAGTAATCGTCAAGATAGTCAAGATCTAAACAAAACACAAATCCCAGTGTGAACATGTCCGGCAAAGATTCTGCGTGACGTCACGCAGAAAAGAGCATTCTTGGCGCGCTGTGAATACACCCAAAATTTATCTTTGCTGATCACCACATATGAACTTTTACTGTTGAGCCCTATCCCGTATCTCGGCTTGACTGGCGAACGCTGTGTGAGGCAATGACGTCAACATTTTTCTGTTGACACCGTCCTCCTCCCTGCATCATAGCCTTCCCAACGACCTGCTGAATTCGCACAGTTTATAAATTCATGTCTTTTAAGGGGACGTCTAGACGGCCATCGCTTCTTATCCATTACAATGGATGGACACGCCGGGCAGGAATTAATGCTGGACGTGAGCTTAGACCAGCGGCTTCCGCACCGCTGAAGCGTTTGATCTTGCGCAGCTCATCGACCGCCTACTCCGGGATCATCAGACATGAACTGGATCATGCCTGGTGACCTGGATCCGCCCAGGCCGGCCGGGAGGGGGATGGGGGGGGGGAGCAGCCGGTGCGTCAGCTGCCCGTTGGCGGCCGCCGAAGGCGTTCCGGCGCCGCCGCCGCCGCCGCCGCGGGGAGGGAGGGGGGGGGGGGGGGCGGGGCGCTGGGCGCGCGCGGGCGCTGTGTAAGTGGAGCGGGGCGGCTGCAGCCGTGCCGACGACGCGGGGGCGGCCAGATGCGGCGCGCCGCCCTGCAGCTGCCGCCCGGTCACGTGACGCTCCGGACGGACGTGCCGCCGGACCGCGCCAGGCCTGTGGGTGGTTTGTTTGTTGGTTAGTCACGACTGACGTCGCCACAGCCGCGGCTGGCAGCCCGCCACCCCCGGCTGGGCTGCGCCGGGCGTAGCTCGGCATGGCCGGCCGCGCTGCGTCCACGCCGCCAACGCGGTCCGGCCGGCGCCGGCTACGCCCGGTGCTGAGCACGCGACCCGGCCGGAGCGGCTCCCATGCCGTGGGCTCGACAGAAAGGGACGGACGGCTTCACGTTGCTTTGCTTTTCGATCGAAAGATTTGGGCTGTTATTGCCAACACTGCGTCGAAAGTGAGGGCAGTGTGCCACCGTAGATTGTCACTTTATTTGGTTTGGCCTCTGGTCGCTGTCCCGGAACGTGCCTTCGTGCCTACGTCACGGTCTCACTTCCGGCCACAGACCGTCTCAGCGGATACAGCTGGGACGCAGGCCAGGAGGGACTCCAGGCCGCCAGAGGAGTTGTTTTGCTGACTGGAGACCTGCGCCGGATTGTGCGCCACTGGTCACGGCGGCGCCCGCCCCGCTGTAGCCATCTGTGCTATCAGACGTGCGGAGAATTGAGGACGCGGCCGTCACGCCACGAAACTACCGGAGGAGCCGCGGTGTTCAACACCACGTTATTGCATGAAACATCTGCTGCGTGGAGCCAGTTGCGTTGCGCGGAATAAGTCCCCTATTCCCGGCATTAAAAAGGGGAATTGTTCGAGGGGCACACGATAGTTTCGTTGCCACATCCCCAAGTGCCCCGGCGCGCTGTGCAGCTGAAGTACCGGCGCCGGTTGCCAGGCGGCGCTATCGGTGCGTGTCGGCAGGACAATGGCGGCACTGAGCAAACAGCCGGCCGCAGTGGCACGGGCGGCGGAAACCTGAGAACTCGGGGAGGAGGCTCTCGTGTCTGGGGACTGAACTCGTGCACCAAGGGGCATTTCTCCGATGGCAAGCTATTGTCAACGTTTTCAAAAGACGGAGTGTGTTCGTGTGTGTGTGTGTGTGTGTGTGCGTGTGTGTGTGTGTGTGTGTGTGTGTGTGCGTGTGTGTGCGTGTGTGTGTGTGTGTGCGTGTGTGTGTGTGTGTGTGTGTGTGTGTGTGTGTGTGTGTGTGTGTGTGTGTGCGCGCGTGTGGGCGTGTAGGTGGATGGTTGGCTGCGAGGGGCTGCGCGTCTGTCCTTGGTCGGCGGCCTCGGTCGTATCGTCTGAAGTTTTGAACTCTGGACGGCGCCAGCCGGGCCGGAAGCGTCGGAGGCGGTGTCAGCTCCGGCGAGAGCTGCCGCCTTTGGAGGCATTCGACTTGTCGCGGGCTGGAAACGATCCACCTAAAACGACTGCATGCTGTCAACAGTCATTATAGGGCTCATTTCAGTCATGTTGGCGACCCGTGCGCTTTCTCCTGAAGCTGCCCCTGCGTTTGCAAACGCAATCGGAGGATAGTGTTGACTGTGAGCACCAACGGTCCTCATAGGACTCATTTCAGTCACACGTGAGCGGCCCGTGCACTGTCTCCTGAAGCTACCCCCGCGCCTGCAAACGCAATCGGAGGATAGTGTAGATTGTGAGCAAACATTTTCACGAACGTCATGCACACACTTTGAATGGCATGCGGTCCGCGTCGCAGGACGAGAGCCCACGCCCTGCGGTACCTTGAGCGTCTCCGCCGCAGCGGTGATGTCAGCTGAACCCAGAGCCGTGTTTACATTCCTCTGCAGCACCCCGACGGCGGCGCCGGGCCGACGCGATCCAGACTGCACTGAGTGGGCAGGGCGGGAACGGCCTGTGATGTCACTCAAGCCGCAGAGGCGGCCTCAAGCCGGGCCGCAGGGGCGGCCTCATGCCGGGCCGCAGGGGCGGCCTCATGCCGGGCCGCAGGGGCGGCCTCATGCTGGGCTGCAGGGGCGGCCTCATGCTGGGCCGCAGAGGCAGGCTCAGACTGGACCACTGCACAGGCGGAGATGCCCCTGAAAACGGCATCGCTGCCGTCCAGCAGAAAGCTCTGGACTAGAGGACCTCACGGGCTGGGTAAAGTCAGAGATACTCTTATGGAATGGGTAGCGGGATCAGCTAAACACAGATTTTTGGAAAATCAAGTTCAGGAATAAGGTTTTGGTAGGAGTTCACGAAATGTATGGTAGAAATTTCAATAAATACTGCATGATGTTACTACCTGAGCCTCCTAACTCTCGTCATCACTGCTTCATTCACGATGGTTATGCAACTAACACAACGTTGAAGAGTAGGCTTTGGTATACCCGCTCCTGACATATTTCACAATTTTAATCAAAGGTGCTGGAAAACTACAAACGGATGGGAGTGGTTGGGCACAGCTGACAGGGAACGGCTCGCGGGTGGGTTAGCTCAAGAGAATGTTATCCGATGCAAGCGTCCACGCTAAACCTGTCCTAAGCCTAACACATCTTGTGCGAAGCTCACTTGTTTCTCACGCAGATTGCCCCCACTGTAGATCACGAAACCGTTTGGAGAGCTGTGACCACTAACAATGCAGATTATCAAACATCCACTTCGGCTTTTCCCAAATGAATTTACCCGCGCCTGGGTGTCATCCAATGCATCAATATTAATTAGCAAACCAATTAACGTGCAATACACATCAGAGTGTCGTTATCTTGGCTACCGTGGCATCGCTATGTGTGAATGTCTGATTCCGCATGCTGCGACCGAGAGGCTGATGTGCGCGCACATACCGCGGAGGTAGAGCAGACCACCGCAGCCCAGACCAAGGGACCACCGGCTCCCTTGGCCGTTCCCTGCGACTCTGGGACCCTCATCCATTGACCCCCGTATCGCGCCGTACAGTCCGGGCGTCGTCCGTCCCGGCTTAGAGTCCGCGCTGCCCTTCGCGAAACCAGTTGAGCTCGTTGCGCCGTTGGACCAATTTGGCAGAGGCGCAATCTCAGCTGCGTCGTTCAGAATCGGCTGTCGTTGCAGGGCCGCGAGGAACATTGCCCGTCTGGGAAGTTGAAAGCGAAACATTCGCCCTCTGTTGGTGGCTAACTTAACCACTGGTTCTCATCTACGCCACCAGGTGACCGCGAGGACATGGCGATCCAGACCCGCGGCGGCCCTGAGAAGCTGATGGTGACCGGCTGGGTGCAGATCGTCGACCTCAAGCCCAGCGACTCGGGCACCTACACGTGCATCGCGCGCAACGGCAAGGGCGAGACGCGCGCCGCCGCTCGGGTCGGCGTCTACAAGGCGACCAAGGGCGAGCTCTGAGCGCGCCTCTGTCCCGTCGTGGTCGGCGGCCCGCGCTGAATCCACTCACTGGTGCTACTGTTTAGGAGGTGCGCTGCATCGGCGCTGCGACGGCTCGGTCCGGGCTCCGCCGCTCGAGCCGCCTCGGGTGGGCAGGCGGCCTCCGGCGCGCCTCGCCGGCGCCAGCTCGCCTCGGACGGTCGGTGGATGTCGAGGAGGTCTGTCGGCACGCGTCACTGCCATCGCCCCGCGGCCCCTTGTGCGCCGGCTGACCACCTCGATGCCCAGCCGAGCTGAGCTGGCGGTCGCACGCGACAAATAAACCGAACACTGCCTGCTTGTTAGCGACGGATGTGGCCCTCGCTGGTCTGTAAAGAGCTTCAGTGCTGCTAGTCTGTACCGTGCGTCGATTATCGTGACTGAAAACGTTGGCGTAGATGTCATTAATACATTGGATACATACAACTTTTTGCGCAACGGTATTCGTAAATATCATCGTCGAAATGCAGCGTATCGCGTTACCGAGTCGAAATAGTAACTTTTCTTCTGCGTCATCAGGCGTCGATAGCACGGAGCTCAGGATCTTCAGATTCCAGAGGCTGATGACCTGCTAATGTGACTGACTGATAGCCTGACAGCATAACTGACTGATGACCTGCTGGTGTGGCTGACTAATGACCTGCTAGTGTGACTGACTGCTGACCTGTCAGTGTGACTGATTAATGACCTGCCAGTGTGACTGACTGATGACCTGCTAATGGACCAACTGAAGACCTGCTTATATTTTAAAATCCCATCCAAGTATATTACAAGAGAACCTACACCCACGCGGAACACCTTGTACGAATGGCCGTCGATGCCGTGGACATGATAATCAGAGATCATGCACGGGCTGAACATGCCCTTCAAATGATATAGGTTCGATCAGCTCGGCAATAAGTCATCTAGGTGGTCCGAATATGCATTTTAACGAGTGTGGCCCATACACTGCCTCCCCTTTCAAGGGCAACGATGTTATAAGGATTCTCTCAAAAGTCTTCCAATGTCCAGCATTACCACTGCGGACAAGCTCATCCAAATATTGTTCGCGTCCTTCAACGTGCGCTACAGGACTTCTGGAATACGACACCGCCAGTATTATCACATACCACAGACCACAGCTGCGTTATCTTCCCAGAATGCATTGCTTGTTGACATATGCATGCCAACAGAAAAGACCAGCTTCGAGAAAAGCTCTGTTTTAACAAAACGTTCATTGTATATACATTGCATGAAGTCACATGACAACGCACAGCTTCAAAACGCCAACACAACTTGCTCGCTTCTAATACGTCACACCCGGCTTAAAGCTCGGGCAGCCGTCTTGTGGGAGGACTTGTAGGCAGAGGTCGAGGACTTGTGCGGAGAGGCCTCTGGTTTGTCTACCGGGACAGCAGATGTGTAGTCCGGGGCAGCAGATGTATAGGCCGGGGCAGCAGATGTGTAGGCCGAGGCAGCATCTGTGTAGTCCGGGGCAGCAGATGTGTAGGCCGGGGCAGCAGGGGTGTAGGAAAGAGGAAGAGCATTGTACGCAGGGGCAGCAGACTTCAAGTCAGGCTGATGGGCCTGGGTAGTTGTCTGATAAACAGGTGCAGTTGCCTGATAAGCAGGAGCAGCTGTCCCGTATGTTAGGGCACCAGGCTTAAAAGTGCGCTTGTAGGCTGGAGTGGTGGCCTTGTAGGGCAAGGAAGTGGGCTGATAGGCAGTGGTGACGGTTGGCTGATGGACGAGAGTAGCGGCCTTGTACGCGGGCTTGTAAACATTGGCGGCAGACTTGTAGGCCGGAGCAGCAGCCTTGTAGGCAGGAGCGGGGTGATACTCGGGGTACTGGGCCTCTCCCTCGTAGGTGACCTCGGCGCTAAAGCCACCGTACTTGTCGGCGACGTACTTGACGTGCTGGGTGCGGCCGTCTGGCAGAGCCACCGAGTAATATCCCTGGGTGTTGTGGCCATCGTTCTCCTCTTTCTTGGCGAAGTTGGTGCCGGTGTAGTGGTCGCTGACGGCGTAGTCGTAGGCGAACGGCTTGGCCTCCTCCTTGTACTGGTACTCTGGGTGGTATGACGAGGTGTCGGGTGCCGGGGCAGCGGCGACGGCGGCGGCCAGGGTGGCGACGACGACGAAGACCTGAAGGTGGAAATGCAGTCCGTTATACCCACTGAAATGCATTCGTGATCGGGACTGATATCGTGTCTTGAAGTGCTTTTGAGAAGTTCCTCGTAACTAGATTGCTCCTGTACTTATGATCCATAGCCTGAATTTGAAATCTCATTCACTTTGTATGCATGCAAATGCAGATGAGATGACCACCATAGCGACCAATACCGTACTTCTAGTTGAACCTCTGGTGCAGCTTTGATGGCGGAGAACGCAGTGCAACTGATACTTTCTCCACAAGGCCTTCGCTTTTAAGCGCCAGCTCCAAGCCGGTGATGGCCTGAGGTCACGGTTCGATCCCTCCGCATGCGACCGTTTGGCGATGGACCATCAGCTGGGCTCTCACGGCCACTCCCTGTTGGTCACGCCTCTCCCGCACGCGGCGACCCTGCGGCCGCTAACCCGTCTCAGTTGCAGCAGCCTCTGGCGCCCACCGCTCTCCCCAGATCCGTGACACCGAGCTAGGACGTCGCGCGCAGAGGTTTGGGATTGGATGGTGAAGATCGAAACGGTAGCTTACCGTAGAAACCAATGACAGAGCGTGATTGGTTGCAATGCGAAATACATAGCATGTGATATCTGCAAGAACCGTTTCTGAATAGCCCTGCGGCCCGTCTGATGCAAAAGGCAAGCTGCCCAACACAACTCACCGTGCAATGTAGAAAGAACATGTAAAATCATCAGAAATGCACTTGGAGTATGATAGTGGGCGGAGAAGCCAGCTGATTGATACAAATTATCACTTCCTGTGGATGCCATGTGTGGGTAAGTAAAAACAGTGGATGCGGAAGCACATGAAGAACCATCGTCTCGCTGCTCAGCCATTATGCCCACCGTGATTCCGTTTTCCCTGCAATTTGCATGGCCCTGTCATCACCAAAAGACCTCGCCCTTTCAGCACACGACGATAAAGCTGTTTATGACCGTTCTGGCAAGACTACTAAAGGCTGAAAACTGCGAGGACAATGTATCACACATGACAGACCAGGCAGTTGAGATCGGATGCTACAGAGATCGGTATGGATTTAGCCTGGTATTATCCAATCCAGCCAGGCTTTATCTCTCTGATCCCCTGGCAAGGTGTGAGACATGATCCACAGATCATCTATACCAAGTGAAGGAATTGTAACAATTTTCGTCACCGGCATGCTGGGATAACAAACAAGGCCAGGGATGCGGCCTATGGGAGAGATCCCATAGGTCCTCCGGACCGGCGCTACAAATGGTGAAAGGCGGGTGTGGAGGGTGCCAGGTCTTCTTTTCCAGTTGCCATTGAAAAACATAGCCTTTTGTTGCTCCTTGAAGGTTTAGAAGATTCCATCACATTGATAATCGATTCTGCGTCAAATTTTTGCACAGCTTCAGGCAGCTGAAAATTAAATTTGTTTTAAGTATAACTTATTAGATGCAGCTATACAACGACCATACCATGCCAGCCGTGTGTTAGATCATTGGTAATTTAAGATCCTCAAGCTATCAGCTGTTTAGTTTTCTTCGCCTAATTGCCAAATATTAACACGCGCTCGGGAGAGGTAAATTTGCATCCGTCCCCAATTTTTACGGAAAAGGTTTCCAACGGTGGCCAGGTCAGGCCGTTGACGTTAGGATTGGGTCATATAGTTCAATTCAAGATGGCTCGGCGAGCGACAATGTCTTTTTTCTTCCTTTCGCTGTTAACAAACTTTCGGGATGTCTGGAGTGACCAGCTACACTTCGTAGCGCTAGCGTTCACCTGTATGAAACGTTATTGATTCATGTCCATCGACTCAATGCAGCTTTGCAACAGATCAGTTTTGGCTACAAAATGCGTATTGAGTACGAGGAGGAGTCGGATATAGCAAACTGTATTCCTCAATGAACAGGAAGCCCTTCACATGCCGTCTTGAAAAAAGCCTAAAGAAATGTCTGGTTCTCTAAAACGCACAGGACCCATAGAGTGATAATGACATCATTACTTTCAAACACAGTGTTAGCTATGAACAAAGCCGACGCGATGATAAAATCAGACGATGACTAGGAAGGATGGGTCAAGAGAAGGCAGGGATGATAGTGCTGGAAACGGGGCGGTTTGTTAGAGCATCGGCTTGACGGTTTGTAAGAGCATAGATCGGTTTGTAAGAGCATCATGCAGTTCGGAGCTCGTCGGCAATAAGAGAAGGCAAGCTTAACAGATCACAACAGAATTATAATCAAGGATGAAAAAATGCAGAATGAGCGTGCATAAATGATTGCTTGATCATTTTCTTTTCAATGTCTCGCTCTCAATACTGCTCTTCACATCTATTTGTGATTTCAAATATTCATAGGTTCACTGCATTAACCACACATTTTGCTCCAATCACTTTTCACATCGTTTCGTAGACGAATTCGTCGTACCAGATTGAGGGTACAGTCTTTTGCTAATAATCTTTACAACAAAGAATTCGTAGTCGCGCAGCGTGGCGGTCAGCGACAAATTACGGAGGCCGCAGTGTTCCAGTTGCTTGGGATGTGTATATATGTTCCAAGACTTGGTATTGCTGTTATTGTGGATTTGTTTGTTTGTTTACATAGGACATAAGCATTCCACAGACAAAAGCCGAATTACGGAAACGGAACACTTAACACACGGAAACTACGGAAACAAATCAGATCGGAATGATTTTGTTGGAAGAAAAACATCATTTGAGGGAGAATGCTGCAAAAGGGGATTGCGGACAGCAGGAAGTGGTGCGACAAATCCATGTTTAACAGTGTTGACCCTTGCGAATGACTCATTGAAAAGGTTAATATGCCTAGAGCGCCGGACGGGTGTAGCCAGACTGAACAGTGACGTCAAGTGAACGCAGTCACTGTTTCCCTGACTATGAAAACTAAACCTTTTCGCGGCGGATCGGCGGGAGGCTACTGCTCGCTCCAGTAAAGTGTGGGGCGGGTGCGGTGGTCTGATGATGGTGTGACGCTTACGTCACCATCAACAGTATGTGCATATAGCCTAATGAGATGGACCGCGTACCAACAACAACACGGACGTCTGAGCAGCAGTTTTATTGACATAGTTATAGATAATCATAATCATAAGAACACATTCGTGCGTACATTTACCGGGCATCCCTCATGCCGAGTACGTTGCAGGCTTGTGTGCCAGGGCAGCAACCTTGTAGACAGGGGAAGAATTGTGAACAGCAGCAGGGTTGTAAGCCGGAGCTGCAGCCTTGTAGGCCGGGCAGTGGGGTGGTACTGGGGGAACTGAGCCTCCCCCTCGTAGGTGACATCAGCGTTGTAGCCGCCGTAGTTGTCGGCGACGTACTTGACGTGCTGAACACGGCCGTCGGGCAGAGCCACCGAGTAATATCCCTGGGTGTTGTGGCCATCGCTCTCCTCCTTGTTGGCGAAGTTGGCTCCCGAGTAGTGGTCGTTGACGGCGTAGTCGTAAGCGAAAGGCTTGGCCTCCTCATTGTACTTAGGCTCTGGATGGTGAGAGGCCGGCTTGTAGGCCGGGGCGGGCCTGTACACCGGCGTATATGGAGCTGGGGCGGTAGCTGCAACAGCCAGCACGGCGGCAACGACGAGGACCTGCAATGCCATAGAAGATATGTTATCAATGGCTTGTTCATTCCAGCATCATTGTTATTTTTCCGACCACGATGCATTTGCCGGAACAAAATCTGTAACACTCGACATATTGCTACATCAACAATATAGTTCGAGCACATGCCTGCATGTTGTGTTCTGGTGGCCGAGTATGCAGTGAAACTGGTGCCTGCTTCTGCAGTACATTCGCCTTTATAGGCCGGCCGCCAACCACCGACGAAGGTCACGGTCATTACCTCACTGAACAGACTGCCCCCGGCGCGTTATCATCTGCTGGACTGGTGTCAACGTGGGTTGGCACGGATCCGTAGCCTCTCCTTAATACACGCCCGACTCATGCCATGCGATGCGAAGTACAAAAGTCTGCTGTTGATCGCGCAGTTTCATTACTCAGTAAAGATGCTGTTCTTTACGGCATTGTTTGATAGCGTCTTTGACCGTTTTTAAGTTATCAGAGTCTCGACTAGAGTGGCTATGTTAGAGTTGCCACTGAATTGGAGAGTGACTCACCTGTCTGCTTCGACGCACTGTAAAGTTGGCGTCGTTCATTTAAACGAAGAATTTGTGTTGCAAGCGTCGTTGTGTGTGCTTTAGCCCGTTTTCGCCTTTTCTTGCTTTTTCTTGAGAGATTCGTAATTTGAAGATGCAAAAATGCCTGTAATTTATCACAAAAAAGGGTTCGTGGTCGACTCATGCAATCGACAGCGCAATCCGGCTGTGTGCCAATTGCCTGATGACGTCATACGTTCATCATAATTTCATTTGATTTAGCCAATTTGGTTTATTTGATTTAGTTCATTCACCTAGCCAAATGGTGCATCACCATCTGTAACTCCATGAACGTTTTGGGCCTAGGTAGGTAAAAAGGCACGCTACAAATACAAAACATTATCTGCCTTATCTAAGTACGTGAGAGGCAAAACTCTTCCCGCACAGACCTCCGCTTATCTAGTAAAAAATACTATCCTTTGCCGACAATGTTACTGACACACTCAACGCAGACAATATTAAATGCAGCAGACAACAGACACAGACAACAGCAGTTCGCCACTCCCTCGCACCACCGGCGGTGTCACGACCACGGGGCACGAGGCCGTGTAAGTTCGAAGTGCAATGGCTTGCCGCTTAAGGTTGTCACGCACTTCATGAAGTTGTGGTTGAATTCTACACTATCGGCTCACTGGTTAGATAGTCTGCCACTAAGTTGATTTCTTATTGGGATGAAGGCTCTGTTGGTTAGAGCGCCTGCCTTCCGATTCACCCACCCGTGGCGGGGTGGGTTCGAGTCGCTTTAGACGCTCGCTATTTGGCCTTGACAGGTGTGACCTGCGGCCGGTGGCAGCGGTCGCGCTAAAGGTCACTTGACGTCAGAGGGCGGGACGGACCGTGCCGACCATTGCGGCACGTTCAACTCCCGTCACTTAATTCTGCCGTCGCCTGGCATTGCGCGATCGGATGGTAAGGGTCAGGGCTCACACAACAAGCGCTGAAAAGCGCGGGCTCTGATGTGAGAAATTCATACATTGAGACAGTCTGGATCGAATCTTCAAAATACCCAGCCCGATGTTCGTGCCATCTCATTGCGTATAAGGCTCGTATGTTGGTCCTTAATTTCTATGGTATTACATTTCAATGGCTTGCCGCCTAGGCTTGCAAAGCCCATCGTCATGTTCACCAAAAATTCTACGTTTCTGGCTCACTGGTCATATGTACCTTCCTAAAAATGGGTTGTTGACTATCCGCACGACTGATTCTAGTTTCCGTTTGCCTCTCATTACGTCCGGAGTCTGGCGGCCAGTCGCGCATGCGCATTAAGGTCTTGGCACCAGTGACGTAACGCTAACGCTAAGCGAGTATAAAGCGAGACTCGCCTGGCGGTTTTACCTCTCTTGTTCCGCCATTGTTCCGGTGCAAATGTATTATTAAATGACTACATTCATTTCCATCTTGTTTTAATGTTTTCCATCACAGGCATTTCCATTTACATCCTTTTAAAATGCTCCCTTACCTAATTTTGTGACTCACTTTACGAACGTTTCAAAGTAGATCATGATATCAGTTGGTATACCCCCTCTGAGGAATTCGTTTTGTTGCGTCAAATTTCAACAGAACCATAGCATGTCATAGCCCGAACTAATCTAGAGCACGCTCAGAATTTGCTATCAACTTTTTCATGGTCATATCTCTTACATGTTAACACATTTTAGCCGCATTTCACGCTGATTTACTCTTAAGAGAGTAGTAATAGCCGTATTGCTCGTAAAAATCAGGAAAATAGAGAAATAGGTGCGCTTATATTCGTTATTCGCTCATCTTTTCGACGCAGGCAGGTTTTCGAAACGTCAGCGCATCTATCTCTCCATTCTCCTACCTTTTTTCGACGAGGAATAAAACTAGGCCTGCTGTCTTATTTATATGCATAATGTTCGTCCCAAATGCACATAACAACCCACGTAACTTTGATTTCTTCTTTTTGTAAACATGGTTTGCTTACGTCCCAAAACTTGGACACCATGGAATGCTTAGGCTTAGAAGGCTTTGAGGTGAAGTTGTTTTATAAACCAAGATTTCGCCAACATCACAACCGGATATTGCAGTGTAAATAAAGCCTTACTATGTGTGCGGCAACATCGTAGCATTTGAAAATGGCGCATGCCGATATGCGTGGCGTCGATACGTTTAAGAAGGACACGATTCATAGCTGTTGAAGTCAATTGAGAGCTTAATTACCTACAAAACATTTCGAAACAAAACATGCATATGCAGGCATCTGCTTGGGCGCCCAGTTTCTGCTCTCGCCTGAGCTTATCTGAGAAATGATGTGTGGAATGACATCTCCATGACATGAAATATCATACATTTCCATTCTCATACGCTTACACCATACCTATGTTCCCAAATTTCGAATTCTCGTCGCGTTTAACCCACGTCACAATTACTTTCGGATGGACAACGACCAAAACTGAAGCGAATCGGATGTGATTTGATGGGGCCAAAGCGTGACCTGGTCGCAGGCCAGAGCAGCTGGTAGTTGGGGATTTAAGGGAAGTATTAACTGCTTCAACACGTCGCTCCAAATTGCTGGCATGATTGCTCTGAATTCAGCGCATTGACAAGAAAGATCGATACGAACGCCCTGTGTCAAAAGCTACATGTTCTTTACCATTCATCGTCATAAAAATTAAATGACCTTTCCACATACAACGTCATGGGTCACATCATGGTCTACTTCTAGGAGGTGGGCGTGTACCAGGAATTCCGTGAAAATTCGTGAGCATAGCCGGTGACACCGTTGGAGGCGTCCGCTTCACTGGAATCTGACCGTGGCCGTCTATCAGCGGTTAGCGGCCGACCTATAAAAGCGAAAGCACCAAGGGAGCAGACACCACTTGCGCTGCAAACCCGGTCATCAGAACGCACCATGCAGGTGAGGGCTGGAATAATACCATTGATATGGTGTCCTGTTGGCTATGAGACAGTTTACTTCACACCAAGTGCACTCTGAGATTCGCGATGTGACTGAAATTGCACAGATACTTCGCGTCAAACTGCGTTATTAAAGTAATCGCTTGATATATCACACATTCTCTACTACATTGCAGGTCCTCGTCGTTGCCGCCGTGCTGGCTGTCGCCGCCGCCGCCCCGGCGCCGGAGACGCCGGGCTACAAGTCCTCTCCGGCCCCCTACCACCCGGCCCCCTCCTACAAGCCGGCCTCTTACCACCCGGAGCCCCAGTATAAGGAGGAGGCCAAGCCGTTCGCCTACGACTACGCTGTCAACGATCACTACACCGGCACCAACTTCGCCAAGAAGGAAGAGAGCGATGGCCACAACACCCAGGGATATTACTCGGTGGCTCTGCCCGACGGCCGTGTCCAGCACGTCAAGTACGTTGCCGACAATTACGGTGGCTACAACGCTGATGTCACCTACGAGGGAGAGGCCCAGTACCCCCAGTACCACCCCGCTCCTGCCTACAAGGCTGCTGCCCCTGCCTATAACCCTGCCCATAAACCTGCTTACAGCAATGCCGCCCCGGCATACAAGCCTGCGGCATACTAGCCAAACAGTGAGAACGACCATCTGTGGAATTTCATGAATTTTGAGTTGTGATGATTTCTCGCCGTTTGCACTTCAATACAATCAGGTGCTTAAACCTTGTGGTCTGGACGCAAGCCTCCAAAGTTGTCGTATGCCTGCGTAGCCTACTTATAGCAATTCGGCTCCGGCATATGAGCCTGCGACGTGCAGGTCACAGAATGAGAGCGGTTATTCAGTTAAATCCATTAATAATTTCGTGGTGATGATTGTCGTGTCTTGAGCTGCGTTACGTACATACAAAAATTTGTCCGATTCGCGCGGTTTTGACGGAGATAATCCTACGTTTTTCGTCAAAATGTCTCTCATCCGGCTGTCGTAAAAGACGTCCGCATAAACCAAAGCTTCAGACCACAAGGCATTTAAAATGATTAGCTATGTCCTGTCATGGACTGCTGCTGCTAACAGCATTGCATCTGTGGAAGCTCTTTAAATTTTCGGGATGATTGTGATGATTTTTTTCCTGGAAACAAGGTGTCTGTAATCAAGGCGGTGACCTTAATATCTATTCCATAAAACAAGTGGTGACCCATGAAAGTATCACGCGGAAACTGCTTGGCATGTGGTTATCAGAACATGGTCACACCTATGACTTGTGACCGTCTAAGGGCTGAGCAGACCTCCTCCCTGGTTGTTAGACTACGTCCAAGCCGTGGGAATCATGTACAACACGTTTAAAGTGCCACGAGGTGATCAAGTTGTCATGTCAGATGGTCATGGGATCATGTGGCTCTCGATGTCTGCGTGAGTGACATGGCCATAGTGCCTTCTGTGAAGGCTCGCAAGATATTTTCGTTTCCACTTGCAAGAATCTCGGTTATCTTCCTTGTCCTGAAGTATCAGCGTTCTAAAACTCATCCAGCAGGGTGTGCAGGATGTGAATATAAATTCATGATACCAGAATGTTGCCTCTCCGGCGGCGGCCCCGCACGCGATTCGTTAACGCTAATCCGTTGCCCTTTGACCCCGTACCAGCCATCTGACCTCATCAGTCCACTTGTCAAGCCTGAGGCGCATAGATACTGGTTTAACAGCTGTGCATTTCGACGCTGATTGGGTGATTTCGAACAAAGGGAGGGGTGATCGGCAGTGAGCCACTGGTGTAATGAGCCGGGGTGTAATGGCATGAAAAAATATCGAAATCCACGCCACCCCCAAGTGACCGAACATTGGAACACCGTGAAGTATCCTAAAGCAACTGATCCACTGACATGGCGGCTGGACAACTAAGTTAGGCATGCTTTGCAGGGTCAGCTATACCAGATCACCAGCAGACGTTTTGTGAGGCCAGTTTAGATACGTTGCATTGAATATGCTATGGTCCATTTAGGGCTGCTAACCCGCCGTGGTCAGCGACTCGCGCTCAATCCACTCACTGGTGCTTCTGTTTAGGAGGTGCGCTGCGCCGGCGTCGCGACGGCTCGGTCCGGGCTCCGCCGCTCGAGCCGCCTCGGGTAGGCCGGTGGCCTCTGGCCCGCCTCGCCCGCGCCAGCTCGCCTCGGACGTTCGGTGGATGTCGAGGTCTGTCGGCACGCGTCACTGCCATCGCCCCCGCGGCTCCTTGTGCGCCGGCTGACCACCTCGATGCCGAGCTGAGTTGAACTGGCGGTCGCACCGAGTTGAAATAGCAACTTTTCCTTTGCATCATCATGCGGTGATAGAACAGAGCTCAACATAACTTCTTCAGATTCCACGGGCTGACAACCTGCTAGTGTGATTGACTTAAGACCTGCCGGTGGGGCGGACTGATGACCTGTTAGTGTCAGGTCACCACAGTGACCCGTGGAGACCTGTTAGTGCTGGTGTTTTTAAGTCCTGTCCAAGTCCTTTGAAGGAGCAGCTATACCCATACGGAACACCATGCACGAATGGCCGTCGACGCCGTGGACATGATAATCAGATATCATACACGGGCCAGACCTACCCTTCAAATGATTTGGGTTCGGTCAAATGGGCGATCAGTCGTCTGATCAATGAGCGTCGAGTAGGCATTTTTGAACAATTGTGACTTAAACACAGGCCCTCTGTTCCAGTCAAACTATAGTCTAAGTTGCAAGGATTTTTTAAAAAATCTGCCACTGTCCAGCATCACCACTGTGGACAAGTTCATCCAAATGTTGTTTACGTTTTGCACGTTGTTACGTGTACGTTCGGAATACGACACGGCCAGCATTATCACGACCACAGAGTACAGCTGTGTCATCTTCTGATTGGTTATTGATGTGTGTATGCCAACACATCAACATGATGACGTGTGATGTTGTTGATGTTGGTGTGTGTATGGTATGATGTTGAATGCATTGGTTGTTAATTTGTGTTTGCCAACGGAAAAGAACAGCATCAATAAAATCCCTGTCTTATAAAAATGTTCCTTGCATACACATCGCAAAACGTCACATCATAACGACAGCTTCAAAACGCCAACACAACTTGCTCGCTTCTTATAGGCCACATCCGGCTTGTAGGTCGTGACAGCCGTCTTGTGGGAGGAGTTGTAAGCGGCAGTCGAGGGCTTGTGCGGAGCGGCCTCTGGTTTGTCTGCCGTGGCAGCAGATGTGTAGGTCGGGGCAGCAGATGTGTAGGCCGGGGCAGCAGATGTGTACGCCGGCGCAGCAGTTGTGTAGGCCGGGGCAGCAGATGTGTAGGCCAAAGAGGCAGGAGTGTAGGAAAGAGGAAGGGCATTGTACGCAGGGGCGGCAGGCTTGAAGTCAGGCTGGTGGGCCTGGACAGTGGACTGATATGCAGGCGCAGTTGCTTGATAAGCAGGGGCAGCTGTCCCGTATGTTGGGGCAGCAGGCTTAAAGGTGCGCTTGTACGCCGCAGTGGTACCCTTGTGGGACGGAGAAGTGGGCTGATAGGCAGTGGTGACGGTTGGCTGATGGACGAGGGATGCGGCCTTGTACGCGGGCTTATAAACATTGGCAGCAGTCTTGTAAGCAGGAGTGGGGTGATACTCGGGGTACTGGGCCTCTCCCTCGTAGGTGACCTCAGCGTTGTAGCCGCCGTACTTGTCGACGACGTACTTCACGTGCTGGATGCGGCCGTCTGGCAGAGCCACCGAGTAATATCCCTGGGTGTTGTGGCCATCGCTCTCCTCCTTCTTGACAAAGTTGGTGCCCGTGTAGTGGTCGCTGACGAAGTAGTCGTATGCGAACGGCTTGGGCTCCTTGTACTGGTACTCCGGGTGGTATGACGGGGCATCGGGAGCCGGGGCAGCGGCGACGGCAGCCGCCAGGGCGGCGACGAGAACAAAGACCTGAAGGTGGAAATGTAGTTCGTTATACCCACTGAAATGCATTCCTGATCGGAGCTGATATCTTGTCTTTAAGTGCTTTTAAGAAGTTCCTCGTAGCTATATAGCTCCTGTACTCATTATACAAAGTCTGAATTTGAAATCTCATTCACTTTGTATGCACGCAAATGCAGATGAGATGACCACCATAGCGACCAATATCGTACTTTTAGTTGAACCACTAGTGCGCACCTTCATGCTACAAGCTCTGATGGCGGAGAATGCAGTGAAACTGATACCTTCTCCACAATGCCTTCGCTTTTAAGCGCCAGCTCCAAGTCCGCTGATTGGCCGGAGTCACGGTCCGATCACCTCCAGCATGGCACCGTTTGGCGATGGCCAATCAGCTGGGCTCTCACGGACCCACTCCCTGTTGGTGTCCACGCCCGTCCCTCACGCGGCGACCCTGCGGCCCTGTGACCCTGTCCTAGTTTGCAGCAGCCGTCGGGCGCTTACCGCTCTACCCAGACCCATGAGCACCGAGCTAGGACTGACGCGCGCAGAGGTTTGGTGAATGGATGTTAAAGATCGAAACTGTAGCTTATCGTAGAACCAATGACAGAGGCTTGATTGGTGCAATGCGGCATACATGGCATGTTGATAGTCTGCAAGAAAAACCGTTTTTCTGATAGCCCTATGCGGCCCATCTGATGCGCAGGGGCAAGCTGCCAGCACACTCAGCTGTGCAATGTAGAAAGAAACATATGAAAATATAAGAATAATCTCAGAAATGCCCTTTTAGTATCCATAGATGGGCAGAAGAAAAGCAAGCTTGATGGACACAGGATCGTCACTTCCTGTGATGCCGTGTGTGCGGAAGTAAAACAAGTGGATGTGGAAGTACATGAAGAACCATCGATCCGCTGCTCAGGCATCATGCCCAATCGTGATTCCATTTTCCCTGCAATTTTCATGATCCTGCCATTACCAAAGACTTGCTCTTTAAGCACAAGAGGATCAAGCTCGTCCTGACGGTTCCGGCAAAACCACTGGAAACTGAAAACTGCGAGAAACAATGATCACACATGACAGACCAGACACTTGAAAATCTAAAGCCGCACAGATCGCATGGATTCAGTTTTGGTATTATCCAATCCACCCAGGCCTTATTTCTCTGATGCCCTGGCACGGGCGTGGAAAAACGGTCCCAGATTATCTATACCAAGCTGAAGGAATTGTAATAATCTGCGTGACCGGAATGCTGGGATCGGAAACAAAGGCTGGGGTTGTAGCGTATGGGAGAGGTCTCATAGGCCCTCCGGACCGGCGCAAAAGTGGTGAAAGGCGGATGTGGAGGGTGCCAGGTCTCCTTTTCCAGTTGTCATCGAAAAACATAGCTTTTTGTCGCTCTTGAAGGTTTAGAAGATTCCATCACACCGATAATCGATACTGCGTCAAACTTTGCAACAGCTTCAGGCAGCTGAAAATTCAAGTTGTTTTTAGCGTAACTTGCTAGATGCAGCTATGCCACGACCATACCACGCCTGCCGTGTGCTAGATCATTCATAATTCAAGGTCCTCAACCCATCAGCTCTAAGGTTTTATTCGCCCAATTGCCAAATGTTAACAAGCGTTCGGGAGAGGTCAGTTTTGCATCCGCCCCCAATGTTTTACGGAATATAGTGTTCGAACGGCGGCGAGGTCAGACAGTGACTTTAAAATTGGTCATATAGCTCAACTCAAGATGGCTCGGCGAGCGGCAACGTCTCCTTGCTTACTTCCAATGTGAACAAACGTTCAGGATGTATGGAGTGACCAGCTACACTTCTTAGCGCTAGGGTTCACGTGTATGAACCGCTATCGATCCATGTCCATCGATTCAATACAGCTTTGCATGAGACCAATTTTGGCTACGAAATGCGCATTGAGTGCGAGGAAGAGGTGGATATATCAAAATGTATTTCTGAATGAACAGGAAGCCCTTCACATGTTGCCTTGAAAAAAAAAACGCCTAGAGAAATGTCTGGTTCTCTAGAACGCGCAGGAGCCATAGAGTGATGAGTATAGCATTACTTTCAAATACACTGTCAGCTATAAACAAAGCCGACGCGATGACAAAATCAGGCGATGGCTATGAAGGATGGGGCAGGAGAAGACAGAATGGAATTTGGTAGAATGTAAAGATGGTAGTACTGGAAACGGGACTATAGATTGGTTTGTAAGAGCATCATGCGGTTCGGAGCTCGTCGGCAATAAGAGAAGCCAAACCTAACAGATCACATCAGGATTATAATTAAGGACCAAATATGCAGAATGAGGATGGATAAATGATGGCTCGATCATTTTCTTTTCAAAGTGTCGCTCTCAACACTCTCTTCACATCTATGTGTGATTGCAAATATTCATAGGTGCACTGCATTAACCATACATTTTGCTCCGGTCCCTGTTCATTTCGTTTCGCAGAGGAATTCGTGGTACCAGGTTGATGCTGTAGTCTTTGGCCAAATTCTTAACAAAATATTCGTAGTCGCGCAGCGCGGCGGTCAGCGACAGATTACGGAAGCTGCATTATTCCAGTTTCTTGAAATGTGTATATATGCTCAAAACATGGTATTGATGTTATTGTGGCTTTGTCTATTTGTTTGTTAGGACATGAGCAGTCCACAGGCAAAAGTCCTATGACGGAAGCAGTTGAATTTTAAAAAAATAGATATACGGTGCCACACAAGCAAAAAACCTAACCAAGCACACACACACACACATCACATCGCACACACACACACACACACACACACACACACACACCACACACACACACACACACACACACACACACACACACACACACACCACCACCAGTCGCACATCAAGTCATCAAAGAAAATGTTCCACGTGTGGCCGGCCGACCCCAACAATCAGATCTGAATGATTTTGTTGAAAAAAAAAAACATCATTTGAGGGAGAATGCTGCGAAAAAGTGATTGCGGACAGGCGTGTAGTCGTGCCAAAAAAATCCATTTTTAACTGTGATGAATCTTGCGAATGACTCGTTTAAAAGGTTAAGGTGCAGAGAAACGCCGCACGGGTGCAGCCAGTCTGAACAGTGGCGTCAAATGAACGCAGCCACTGTTCTCTGACTACGAAAACTAAACTTTTTCGCGGCGGATCTGCGGAGGCCACTGCTCGCTCCAGTAAAGTGTAGGGCGGGCGTGTTAGTCTAAGGATGGTGTGACGCTTACGCCACCATCAACAGCATGTGCATATAGCCTAATGAGATGAACCGCGTACCGACAACAACACGGACATATGAGCGGCAGTTTTATTAGCATATTTGTTAAAATAATAATCATAAGACCACATTCGTGCGTTCATTTACCGGGCATCCCTCATGCCGAGTACGTTGCAGGCTTGTGTGCCAGGGCAGCAACCTTGTAGACAGGGGAAGAATTGTGGGCGGCAGCTGGTTTGTAAGCCGCAGCGGCAGCCTTGTAGACAGGGGCGGGGTGGTACTGGGGGTACTGGGCCTCTCCCTCGTAAGTGACCTCAGCGTTGTAGCCTCCGTAGTTGTCAGCGACGTACTTGACGTGCTGCACACGTCCGTCGGGCAGAGCCACTGAGTAATAACCCTGAGTGTTTTGGCCATCGCTCTCCTCCTTCTTGACGAAGTTGGTGCCGGTATAGTGGTCGCTGACGGCGTAGTCGTATGCGAACGGCTTGGGCTCCTCATGGTACTGGGGCTGCGGATGGTGAGAGGCCGGCTTGTAGGCCGGGGCGGGCTTGTACACCGGTGTATCCGGGGCTGGGGCGGCAGCTGCAACAGCCAGCACGGCGGCAACGACGAGGACCTGCAATGCCATAGCATATATGTTATCAAGACGTCGTTCATTCTAGCATCATACCTATTTTCCGACCACGATGTATTTGCCTAACAAATCTCTAGCACCCGACAAATTTCTACACCAACAATACACTTCAAGAACATGCCTGCATGCTGTGTTTTGGTGGCCGAGTGTGCAATGCAACTGGTGTCTGCTACTGCAGTACTTTCGCTTTTATACGTCGGCCGCCCACCACCGATAGCACCCCACGGTCATTACCTCACTGAACAGATTGCCCCCCCCCCCCACCCCCTCCCGCACGTTACCATCGGCTGTGCTGGTGTCACCATGGATTGGCACGGACCCATGGCCACACCCATATGCACGAGCCACTCCTGTCATGCGATAATTGCGCCCATTTAAAATTAGGATTGCCACGCTTAAAAGGCACAAAACTACTATAAGCAACACGGTTTGTTGCTTAAAAAGAGTACTCCCCAATACGTCACCGTTTGATTAAGCCATGGGCCGTTTCTACGTCATCAAAGTTTCTACCAGAGTTGCCGTGCTCGAGGTGCCGTGATTGTATATTCTTCAATGATTTCATGTCTTTTATTTGCATTGGCAGTTTCGTTTACGGTGCAATACTTCAGTTCATGGATTATCAGAATAATTTCTGTCATAACTCAAAGATAGCTAAACGCCAGTGTAGTTCATCACAAAACGCGGCCAACGATCACGCGGATGGTGATCGAGGTACGCAATCGGCCGCGCAATCTGGCTGTTTACCAATTTACTTATGACGTCACGCGTTCGTCATAGAAGCCAGATCCAGCTGGATGCGCATTTATACGCATTCGTCTCGCTCGCCACATAGTCTGCCACTAAGTTTATTCTCTATTTGTTTCGAAGACAGCCCGATGGCTCTGCCGCCCCACTGCGTATTACACTGTTGTATAAGTCTTCATTTTTCATGACATTGAACTTTGATAAATACTTGCATGGGCTTGCAAGGCCTACCGCTATATTCGTCACAAAATTCTTCGTTACTTGCTTGCTCGTTACGTGCACCTTCCTCCAACGGCATTTTCACCATCTGTACGAATATTTCTAGCTTCCGTTTGCCCTTCAGCATTACGTCCGGGGCCTTGCGGCCCAGCGCATTGAAGGTTTGTCACCAGTGACGTCACGCTTACATCAAGCGAGATGAAACGGAAATCTCCGGAGAGTTTTACCTCTCTTATACAG